GCATGATAATATATTAAGTAATCCAAAGTATTCAGAATACGTTACTCTCATTGAGTAATGTAACAGAATACGTTACAGAATACATTTTGGGGCATGTATTCTGTAATGGAATACATTTTAAAAGTAACCTTCCCAACACTGCACCTACATTATACATGTAAATGGCTAGTGTTGACTTATGGATTTTTGGATTGTTGATATGAGAGATTAAATTGTACAAACACAGGTAGGATCCAAATGTTCCTTCTCCACAGCTTTTTCCTGCTTTGTTGGGAAAAGCAATTTACAAAAATGTAAATATTTACTTCTATAGTTTGCAACAAAACCTTTTTCTTACTCTTCATCTTCTTGTTGGTCCCTTTATATCATAACAAATCATCACCTTCCATCTCAACATGTTTTAGGACATACTCACCCTAGTTCACATACATATGATTTAAAGGTAAATAATGAAGAAACCCAGAAACCATACAAAAAAACCCAAAAAAAACCCCTTTTCTCTTAATTTTTACTTTTTACGAGATAAATCTTAGAATCTGGTATTGATTGGAAAAATTTCACGGAGGTTCATGGAGTTTTAAAATAAGTAAAGGAGGCCATATTCAAATAAATAAGGAAAGGTTAATTTTGTGTCTTATCTATTAGCCCTCAGTTTTAGGATAACACTGCCTTTTCCCAAGCCAGATTATCACTCTCTTCAGATCTCTTCCAACTGGTTAAATAAAAGGAAGAATATAAAGGTGTCCCAAAGTGTCACAGGGGGAATCTAACCCATCATAGATTCAACAGCCGTCAATATCTGACAATTTGTGAAGAATACAATCTAATGAAACCACGTGGTTAAAAAAAACAAAACAAATGGAAACAGAACATAAAAAAAAAAGCTGGACAATGGAGGGTGCAAGAGGCCCACCATCCCTCAACCACACTACGGCATTAATAATAGTAATATAAATGAAAAACAAAATTACAAAGATGTATCCTCCAAAACTGTGATTTTGTTGACCCCAAGAAAGTAAAGACAGGTCACCACAACACCAAGACACGACGTCTCTCACTATCTATTTGAGAGCAGTTTAGTAGACAAACTCAGAAATTCAGTAAATTGCATTAAAATAGTGTTGAAAGCCTTAGAAAACCATTTTATATTCATTTACTTTCTGCATTAATAAAGCTGAACAAAATAAATCTCCCCTTAGTAAGGATACTTTATAGCATCTTACAACTTCTTCTCATAGTACAAACAGAAATGGAACAGTGGAGGGCTGCAGAAATAAACACTCACTATAGTAATAGTCTGGTGTCTATTAAAGCAAATATTCAGTAGATATGCATGTCCAAAGATCCGAAAGATCACACTATACATCATATCTAAGAGATTCCTATTCACATATTTAAAACTTTATAACTGAGTTTTCGTGTACAGACAGCAACAGAGCTCAGATCCCATGATTGGCACTGTCAGGCTGTTGGGAAGGGGGACACTCCTCACTAATGGTGTTGGGGGCAAAGGGGGGGAAATCATATTGCCACTCTTCTGGACTGGTCCTGGGGTCTTCTGACAATTCAAACAAGTGTTACCAGCTTATCACAGATCCATTTAAGTTGCTCTAAAGTTATCTTGTTTTAATGTTTTGCCTGTAATGTCAGGCTGCAGACCCTGTAGGCTAAATGAATTCACACTGCTGGAAAGCAGAGATAACAATACATCTAGGCCTGAAGCTGGTAGCTTGCATGGAAAAAACACACAGCCTAAGAGCATTATACAATACAGTCAAACCGATCCTGTGTTGGTATGAATCGCAAACTTATGACCAGCTAATGTGCCAAACAGATTTTTCTATAATTGTTCAACTAGGCAATTAAGATGAAGCCCCACTGGCCCAATATGCAGGAGACCCTTTATATGCCACACCACTCTAATGCAGTAATGAGTATCAATGCAGTAGTACAGAATTTGTATTGCAAATCTTTGACCACATAGTTTTGAAATTGTGATTATAGTTTGTGGATGTAAAACAGTCCCTCAGTAGATGTCCCAAATGAATCCATAAGTTTGGTCACATCAACATCAGCACTTAGTTCAGTTGCTTTGGATCATTTTAGTTATGCACATCACGACTGCTTGTATATTAATTATATAAAGATACAAAGAGCAGTTGTGATGTGCATGCTTTGATGTTTCTTCTTTAAATGTGAGGGCAAATATGCCAACAGACTGAGTGTAGACAAAAATGTTATATAAGTGTTATGCTGCAAAGCCAGGAAACAAAAGTAATGGGAAAAAAATGTAAGTCCTGAAGGAATTTCATGGCAGGAATAAATCAAAGAGAAAATGTGCAGACGCCTTTAATTTAGTGCACACTTTGGAAGGCTGCAAAAACTTCAATAACTGAAGTGCACATAGTAGTTTCAATTTGTTTGTCTAAATTCCTGTTAGCAAATCAAAATCAAATTACTCCACTTATGAAATCTCACATTCTTATTTCAGCAAAAATACAGACACACCGATTTTCTTTGGAATTATTTGGTGCGAAATGCATCCAAATTGTTCAAAGTAATGCTAAATAAGATCATTTTAGGAAACGTTTTCAAAATGTGAGCCAACATACAACAACCTCAGTTAAGTTGTTACTGCCTAATTTTGAACTGACTTATATTACAAATTATATCACAGAAAATCTCTAAAACCATCACAAATCCTTCCACCAATCATTATTTAGTAACAGCAGCCTTAAGACGTCATTTTAATTTTCTCAAGAAAACAATTAATTCCTACATGAAAAAACAACCGTTTTCAACTTTGATAAGTATGGATAAAATACCAATTATCTTGTTGCTCCTTGGTGAAATCGTGAGTGTGACTGACCTAAATGTAAATTGGTTATGAAAAATTACTCATTACTTCACCTCTAGAAAGAAAAATAATCAGAAATCCGTATCAACTGTGACTTTCATGTTTATTGCAAAGTAATACCGTGTTGCTTGCACGTCACTTTTTGAAAAAATAGAACATGATGACAGGACAAAGTCAGGAAAATAGTTGCTAGGGTAACAAAAGTAACCAAAATGCTGATCAACTGTGTGATAACAGTCCATTTTGTGCTTGGACAGACTGATTGCTATTGTCCAAGTAATCCCACTCCGTATGCTCTCAGTTCTCCAGCAGATGTTGAAAAATTCTTCATTCCCCCCACTTCCCCCCAAAAAAATCTTATCTTCTCCCACTGAACCCCTGAACCCACAGCAAGCCTGAGCTTTCACACTGAAGAAGGTTGCATGGGTTCATTTTTATTTTGAGGTGATGGACACCATATTGTTGGGACTTAGGATCTCAATCCAATAACCATCAGGGTCCTGAATGAAGGCTAAGCCTTTCATTTTACCTGCAGGGGGGGAAAACATAACAGAGAAGAGAGGGTGAATATAAACTGTAAGTACTGAGTGGATAAAAGTTCAACTTCAGATTCAGACATGTGCAACAAAGACAGGCTGAATACAAGATAATTCAATTTCATATTAGTACAAATATTAAATATTAGCTATTAAAGGTTTACAGAAACCTGCTATCAACATGTCATTAAATTAAAAGTAATTAAAGTAACCCTGTGCGGAAGATTAGCTACTTTAGGAATTATTGTGTGGAAAAAAATATTGATTTACTACATAATTAACTAAATGGTAAATGGCCGGGGCTCGAACCAGCAACCTTCCAATTACAGATGCAGTTTGCATCTGGATGGATGCAAACTGCACTTCGTTGCCCTGTACCTGTGACATGTGCAATGACAATAAAGTTGAATTCGATACTAATTCTATTCTATTCTACAAGGCGAACTCCCAACTCTTGAGCCACAATCGCCCCTCAACTCTGATTAAAGTATCACAAATATGTCACATCTTACCATCATCAGGCTTTTTAACAAAAGTGACTCCTTGCTCCTCAAACAATTTGCAGGCTGCATAGACGTCAGGAACTGCAATTCCAATGTGTCCTGTCAAGAGTAACGGAGACGGTGCTCAGACAGACACACAAGTATCCACAAAAAGCAGCAGACACAACACAAACATACATTATCAACTCAACACGACAAGAAAGCAGTTTTACCAAAGCCACGTGGATCCGAGTTTCCATTGTGATAACTCTGACTGTCATCGGACTCAGAACCCCAGTTACTGGAAGAACAGATTCAAGTAAATATTCCAACTTGAGCTTGGTTCGCTTTTTGATTGCTTACAACACTAACTTTAGGTTTTTGACTACATTTTAACAACCGAGGATCATTTTTTACTGGATGAGGGAGATAACAGTTGAAGAAGATGCACACAATGCAATAAATTAAATTTGTTCCTGGTAGTATCTAACATCCACCCTTACTGTGTCAGCTCGAGGGTGGCTCTTCTTGAGAAAGTCCAGGCTGTTTTTTCCTTCACATCTGCAGGGATCTCCTTCTTGTCCTCATAGCCCAAGAAGAAGAGAGAGAAACGCATCGAGGGAAAGTCAAACTTTTGCAGGAGCCTGCAAGATATCACACATCGGAGAGAAAACATTTTACAAAGTCAGGAAACGTCCACACAAACTTTGAAAACACATTTAACGATTTTATGTCTCTCTTTGAAGTGACAAATAAAAAGATGTAAACAAATATGACTCAGTTCAAGAGCTGAGTAAACCGAAGCCCGCACGGATACTCACGTCATTCCGAGGATTCTGGTGTAGAAATCTAAGGATTTATTTGGATCTTTAACCCTGAGCATCGTCTGCTGCATCATGAAATCCTAACACACAAACATAATAATAGATTAAGGACAAGTCTTCGAGGTAAGTAACAGTATAACTGAATTACAAATATGACAGGGATGAAAATTAATGTTTCCTTAAACTGCAGAGGAATTCAGATTCATTCAACAAAAAACAAACTCAAATTGTCACGTTACATTTAGTTGCTCAAGAGTGGCGGGACTTCAGTGAGCAGAGTACAAGACAATCATTTTATATTTCTTTATGATGTTAAGCACTGTACATTTCATTCTTGTGTGAGACAGTCAGCCTCATCTCTGGCTCCGTTTAGCAACGTGACTGAGAAAAATTTGTATCCTGGCACTAAGCGGCGAAAAAGACCTTCAGTCGAACTGTACCTCTGTGTTACCGAGCGCACAAACACAGGCGGTCAGCATCATAGGGCTGAACGTGCCAGATTTGCCTATGTTCCGTTAGATTTACTTCCTTATTTTAAATTCAAATAATTCATCTAACGATGACCCGAGTTTTTACTAGAATGTGGTCCAGTCCGCATTACTAAACTGTCGCACCATCACTGTGTAAACACAAAGAATGAGAAACTGGAAAACTCTTCTCTCAAATATATATTTGTTTGCTTGTTTATATTCATTTTGTTGTACTTCTTTTCAATTTCAGTTCAAATTAGATTAAAATCGGATAAAAACAGTACTGACATGTCACCGTGGACTTCTGTCTGTTCAAAAACAAACTTTTGTTTTCCACACAGTGTGTCAGATTGTGTTATATTGATGTGGTTTTTGTTGCTCTGTGGAGGAGAGAAATTTGTGTTTTTTCTTTTTCTTTTTAAATGACAGCATTCAGTCACAGCATGAAGTAAACTGAATCTTTACTCAGTGCTTGGGGTCAATCTGATCATTATCTATTTGATTAACTTAATTATTTTTGTTATAAGTCATACAAGCCTTACTGGTGGACAAACTGCCACTATGTCTTACACATTTTCAGTTCCAAATGGGACATCAGGCTGCAGGTGTTTAACATATGGATATGCAGGGGTTCAAACAACCGTGTGCCACCTGATTAGCGAAATTATCTGAGTTAATATAAGAAAAGAAAAATGCTGTAAATGTGGTAAAGTGGGCGTCTGGTTTTTACCCTCCGTATTTCTGTGTTTGAAGTGTATGAAAACCAAACTTTGCTCTTTGACTGCATTTCACAGTTAAGTCCTATCTCTGTGCGTTGTCCTTCCTGTACCCTTCCTCCTTCTGTGTTAATGTTTCATATCTATAGAAACTCTACAAACACCCCAGCTGCAATATATTTCCCCAGATAGCGTCACAGCTGCATTCATATTTCCGGCTAGTTCCAGTACTAGTAGTTCATCACTCATACAGCACACATTAAACCAACAAAGCAAAAGTGGAAAGCCCCTGAAAAATGAAAGTGCCTTTTATTTCTCAGGTCAAACCTCATATTTTACACGTGGGAGCAAAATAAACTTCAATTTCAAAGCATGTGAGTGCCAGCCAGAGCAAAAAAATCAGAAACAGCTAAAGAAAAATAGAGGGAACCACTTAGTTCCGCTACACAATTACGTTTGTTTCTGTTTGTATGTGTATTTACTGTCACTTGAAGCCATACAGACGGGAAGGTAAGTGGGCTGCAGCACGTTAACGTAGTGACTTCAAAAACAGACTGAGTGGAGCGAACAGCATCTATCCAGTGAATAACATGAACAGTAAGTTACTAAGAACTCAATAAATGAAATGCAGGGCAATGTGGGATGCATTGCTACTGCTGAAAGGCACATTTTTATAAATCTTAAAGCATCTTAAAGAATAAACATACGAATGATGACCCTCACAAAGGTCTGGGAATGAAACCTGTGAAGGATGAATAAGCTGTGTTCAACTGAATGCAT